AAAGCGTAACAATTGAAGAAGAAGTTGAAAAAGTGCTTGAGTTATACAAGTTAATTTGCATAGGCTCACCACTACATTAAAAGCAGATATCCGTTGTATAGCTGATAAGAGCATTCAGACTTTTGTGTACTCCTAGAAACTGAAGAGACTGAACAAGAGCAAAGTTTTGAGAGAAACCCAACAGGCTTGGCAGCATCTGTGGAAAGAAAAACAGTTGATGTTCCGAGTCCGATATAACTTCTCTTAGGAAGCCTTGGTGTCTGCTATTATTGGATTACAAAGCAGGCAGTCTGTGGTTACTGACATTCTGCACCTTGTAGGATTTAATTATTTTTCAATAACTAAATTTGACCTGATCAAGCAACTGAGGAAGTAAATTGTATTCTGTTTAATTATAGTTATGAAGGTATTTCTTTTAAGGGAAAGTAGCTATATAATGCAAGTCAAAACTAATGTCATGGATTTAAGGTTATTCTTATGGGTCAAACTCATAAACTTGGGCTAATCAATGTGAAAACGTTTTGAAGTAAAAAGCTTTTGCTCAAGAGCACAGCTATGTGTTGATGGTTTAGTTTTATAACTTGAAGTATGCAGCAACTCCTTGGAGAACTAAAAAACCAATATGATCTTTTGAAAGTAGTTTCAGTTATCGTATTATTGTACAGTCACATGATTCTTTTAGCATGTAGTTTCTTGGAAGTTGTTAGGCTTTGGAATGTTCCAGAATGCATAATATGTAGTAGTTGGGACAGTTGGAATATTAAACCTCAAAGGGGACACTTTAAATAGACATACAAATTGCTCTACTGGTGCCTCATTGTTTTGGTGGAGATCTATGAAGTTGCTAAGCTATGAGGGGCAAGAAATGTGGTTAACATTTAAAGGAACAAATTGGGAGACAGTAGGAAGTGAAGTCAGTAAGATGACCAACTAGAAATTGGGCACACCTTGTTTAACCAACCTGAGATTAAATGCATGGTGTCTGTGTGTTGGGAAGCTGGGGTAGTGCCTCATAACGGTGAACAAGGAATGATTCTTAGTAACTTGGTGCACAACAAAGAGACGGAAGAACAACTTCAGTCAACCAGAAACCATGAGCTAGTGTCTCCAGTGTATCAACGAAAACGACTGTTTTTATTGAGTATCATTTCTTTTGTACCTGTTTAATTAAATTTAAGTTCTGTCAAATATGTGAAAACGTACATGGAATGGATCTTGTACCTAATCGGGACGAGTCAACTTTTAGGTTAGTTCTCTCAACTTGGTCTGTAATCATAATTGACTTGGGTCTTATAATTAAAATGAGCCTCAAAATATTACAATTTTAACTACTAGAACCACTGTTCTATGGAATTAGTTCATTGTCATCTTCACCTACCCTGCTGCTCTATCTTTTCGGCCATATCTTCTCACATCTGTGCAATTGTATTGAGTTTTGGCATATTTTCTTTAATGCCATCAGTGAATTCCAAGTTGAAAGATCTATTTCTGTTTTCCTTTTGGGGAGTTTCTCTTGGCATCCCAATGGACCAACCCCAACCTTGCATTTACTATAGCTAACCTACCTAGTCTGCACATCCCTGGACACTACAGGGCAATTTAGCATTGCCAGTCCACCCAACCTGCACATCTCTGGACTGTGGGAGGAAAGTGGAGCACCTGGCAGAAGCCTATGCAGACCTAGGGAGACCATGCAGATTCCATACAATCAGCCCAGGTGAGGCGATGGCCTAGTGGTATTATCACTGGACTGTTAATCCAGAGACCTGTATAATGTTCTGGGGACCTGGCTTCAAATCCTGTCACAGCAGATGGTGAAATTTGAATTCAATAAAAAAAGAAAAATTTGGAATTAAGAATCTAGATGACCACACAGCCATCGATGAGTGTTGGGGGAAAAACTCATCTCCTTCAATAATGTCCTTTTTAGGGAAGGAAATTGCCATCCTTACCTGGTCTGGTCTAAACGTCACTCTGGACTTTATTCATTCATGGCATTTATTATCCAATCCCTAGTTGAAAGACACCACATTGCTTAAAGAAACCCAAGGCTGGAAATCGATCCCAGGTCCCTGGCACTGTGAGGCAGCCATTGTTGTCACTGTGCCACCCGGTAAAACCATGTTAGCATTCCCATTCGAGCACGTCTTCAAGTTGGAATCCATGTAGGTAAAGTCAATTTTATTAAACGAAAATAAACAAAGAACTGCAGATGCTGGAAATCAAATGTAAACAGAAATTGCTGGAAAAACTCAGCAGGTCTGACAGCATCTGTGGAGAGAAGTCAAAGTTAGCGTTTTAACATTTCAGGTCTGAAACTGGACCCAAATCTTCTCTCTAGATGCCAAACCTGCCAAGATTTTCCAACAATTTGTTTGATTTTACCTAAGTATCTGTATAGGCACTGGAAGATTTGCAAAATTAATTGGTTGTTAAAGAAAAGTGGAATAAATTTTCCCTTCTGTATCCCTATTATTACGTATATTTAACAGTTGAATGAATGTATAGTTTGGATTGTGCCGTGGGTTACTGAAAGAATTACACAGTCCTTTTCACATCCTCTGGAACAATGAGTTAGCTTGTGATAAGTGTCAAGTAGCCTTACTTTCAGGCAATCTCAAAAATGTCGATTAGAAGGTGGAAAGATCTCTGGTTCAATAGTGGTAGTTGTACCTTGGGACCAACTGAGAAGGCAGCAACATTGGTCTTCACCTTTTCTTCAATGGCAGTGAAGTCTCAATTCAGATTAATTGTTTTGCGTTTGGATTGTTCTAAACATGATGCAGAATCTTTGAGTCTTAAATGGGAGGGATTTTATAACACATATCCAAAGTCTTATGTGTCTAATGAGGAATTTGTCTCAGAGCAGAGAGGACTCTTGTCGCTCAAAAATGATGTGTATGTAACAGCTAGTACACTTTGCATGCTGTGTTATGGAGAAGGGAAAGTCGAACCCCTCTGGTAAATAACCCGAAACATCAGCCCCAAACTGTTAGGATGGGAATAGAGGTTCCCTTCTACTAATTAAACATCCAGAGAAGCTCATCTTGCCCCTCAATCTGTTAAACGAGTAGTTAAATGAAAGGAATCACTAATGCTCACTTTATCAGCGACAAGTAAGTTTATTTATTTAACCCTAACTGAACAAATTAACAACTACTAACAAACTGAACAATTCCCCTGTGATGACTATTTCCTAATAAAACAAAGATTCTAATCTTATGCTGTTCCAATAAACACAAGCTGCTCTTATGTAAATTCAAATAATAAGAAAACAATAAATTAAAACTTAGTCTCTCAAAGTTCACACTGACTGTCTTTTGGAATGCTTTGCCTTCTCCATCGTCTCTACAGCCTTTCTTCTGCTGATCTTGCTGTCAGGGATGTTTTCTTTGTAATTTCTTCTGTGAGTGCTGTGGTACTTTTGATGCTTTTTTTTTAAGAGAACTTAATGATTTTGCATGAGAGCTAGGTTTATTTCTCAGATAGCAGTTGGCTTTCACTGATTTTCAAAAATCCCCTTCTTATATACCCCGAATGACACATCAATTTCTTACAATATGATTGGTTTCAAGTTGTCAAAACCATCATTTTAAATTCAATTGGCTTTTGTTGTCAAAATATCAAAATAAGACTGCTGTTTTGCCTGCCAACTATAAGGCCTTTTGATATACTTGTTTCAGTTTGGGGCTCTCTGTACAGTACTTGCAAACTTCCAAGTACAGACAAAGCACAATCTTTTAAAGGGACCATGCACTGCTTTTCCCCACTATTATTTTTACAAACAAATTCTAACTTCCTGCCTTTCAATTCGCGAGTATTCTACGCAACTTCATAACGGCAAAATATTTTTTATTGTTTAAGATCACAAATTGTACTACTATGGAAAACTCGGTTAAAAAGAAATAAACCAAGGCATCAAGGATAAACAAAACAGCATATCTTAAATCTTGTGTAAATTGCACTTATGCATATTGTAATCATGCGCTGTCTTAAGGTGCATTAAATCAGCTTTGCAAAGAAAGCAAATTCCTATTTTTAAGTGTTACTATGGACTTCAGTAACATCCAAATTCACAGCTGCAAAAAAAATGTAATTGTACATTTCTCTACTACAACCACTATGTCTGCATCTTAAACTCTTCTAATTTTATGTGGCATAAGTGCTTCCAGTACTTCCCTGATAATCGCCTCGAAAAGGCTACTTAAAAGGCTGTCTATTTAGAGTGGATTAAAATAAATATGCTTCAAAAGCAGAATGAGGATGTTGGCAACTGTAACAGAAATATATATAGAGAGAAAATAGAGTTAAGTGTTTTAGTTCCGAAAAAGTCGTATTCGACTCAAAACGTTAACTTTTATTTCTCTCTTCGTAGATGCTACCAGACCTGCTGAGTTTTTTCAGCACTTTTTGTTTTTGATTCAGTTAGTTTTGTTACCTATTGTCAGTGTCCCCAGCATTCAACCTTTGTTTGACGATGCCCTGCCGTCAGAATCCTTCGCAAACTCGTTTGCAATTAACATTTTTTAAAATCCAAACATCATTGCTTCAAAATATCTAGACCATGTTTACACTGGGCATACAGTGTTCAAGATAGTCGGTTGGGCCAAAATATTCTGACCTCTAGGTCGAGTTCCAAAACTTCGTATGTGACAAACTACAAATAAAGCGCCTTGAATGGGCGGAAGTGCAATTGGAATTCTCGTATTGCTGTTGGGGGGTGACGCGGAAAGATTACCGTCACATTATCGCCAGATAACCATCACGATAGCGGCAGGCACTGCTGATATACAAACAATGAGCGAGCGCTCCAGTCAATGGAAAGAGACACGGAAAGCATAGTGTTGCCTTGATCAAAGATGTCGCTCCAATTTGGCACGCGTGCCGAGTGCGCAGGCGTGGGGCTCGGGCAGCCGGCCAATGTGGTTGGAGGGGCTGACGTCACGTACCCGTGTTGGAGAAGAGAGGGACTGAGAGGAGAGCAGGCTGGGCCGAGTGCGCCTGCGTGGGCGCTGCGCGGTAAGATGGCGGCGGTTGGTGATGGAGCGGGGTCGGCCGGGTCGGCGCTGCAGGGGTTAATCCGGCAGTTCACAGCCATTACAGGTAAACAGGCGAGAGGGTGGGAGAGAGAGTGGAGCTGGAGGCCGTCACCGCCCTCAGGACTCCCATCTGCCTTCGTTGTGTCCATCCCTCACCACTAGCCATCCTCCCCGAGGACTGGGAGTCCTGGGCCACTCAGCAGGCCGGGCCCAGGGCACTGCCCCATCACACCATCCCCGCCCCCATACTCCACCCAGATGGAGCCGCCAGAGCCAAGGGGGAGTCCCGGGGTGAAAAGGTGTGGGACCGTCCCCGACTGCCCCTTGAAGGGAGGGGGGCTGTTAGTTGCCCTGCTAGTCTCCTGATTTGTGTATTAGTGCTCCTGCCAGTTCTTGAGGGTGGTTATTGCCCCTGAGGGGTATTATGCCCCTGCCAGAATCTTGAGGGCTGTTAATGTCCCTGCCAGTACCGTGAGGGATTGTTATTACCTCTCCTAGTCCCCTGAGGTTGCTGTTGTCCCTGAGGAGGGAGGGGGGGGATGGTTAATTCCCCTACTGACCTCCTGAGGGGGAGTCAGTGGTCCTGCCAGTGTTCTGGGGTGGGGGGGTGAGGTGATACCCTCTCAGGAATCTTGCAGGATTATTAATGCTCCTGCCTGTTGCCTGAGAGGGATTTAATGCCACTATCAGCCCCATGAGATGGTGTTAATGCCCCTTTACCATGTGGTCTCTGCCCGGGCCATCTACCCGGCTCCTCAACACCATTCAGAGAGTCAATATATACTGCACTAGCTGGTACCCATTCTGAAAGCTTGCTACATTTTAGAGGAAAGAACAATTGCATAATGTCTGGTCTATTCAGAAATTATAAGTACAGTAATTTAAATGTTAATTCCCCTGGTTTAACAAACTTAAGTAATCAACAAGCGCATCATCTAAACTTTATGTTGTTTTCTTTCACGCTGTCAGGCCTCTTCTAAGTTTGTGCTGTGACAAAATAAATAAACAGAACTCTATGATTGCCTGAGTAACTTTGGTTCTTTAAGCTAGCAATAATTTACAGAGCACTCTTCTAATTGTCTTCCAAAGCAATTATGTTATTCACCAAAATGGAGCACAGTAGTCTATTTATTGTCTGACTGTACGATTATTTCCTTTAGTTGAGTGCCGAATAATTCTGTTCATACTTCCCAATACCCTGCTTGCTGTCAGTCAAGCTGTTCAGCATTGATTTTGAATCTTCAGTTATGTGTACAATAGTACTTCAATCTTTTTAATTAAATTACTTGCAGTATTGTTTACTGTAAATGATATGTATTCATGTGTTGGTCCTCCCTACATGTAATATGCAGTTTTAAATAGCTTAAATGCTATTTGCTATTGCTTTACTAATTTTCCAACTACATGCATTTTTCTTTGTAGAAGATTGCCCTCCTCTACAGTCTTTACCCTTACACCTGCCAAACTATTGAGCGTTCTCTCAATCTCACTTTCCGGTTAATATGTACACCGAACAGTCAGGAAGTTAGCACTGACCCCAGGGTGATACTAGTGGTAACCTGTCTCAAGACTGATCAACAGCCATTGCTTGGGGTTCAGTTCCTGATCTAGCAAATCATGCTCCCCTTTATAGGGAAAAAAAACTTGAATTTGTTTAGCATTTTTAATGAAACCAGGTGTATCAAAGTGCTTTGAGTCAATGAACTTGTTTTTGAAGTGTTGAAATGTAGGAAACGTGGCAGGTATTTATGGCAAACTCCCACAAGCAATAATCTAATAGTGATCAGACCTGTTTTCGTGATGTTGATTGAAGGCCACATTTTGGTTATGATATTAGCAGTAAGTCCCCTGCTATTCTTCAAAATAGTACCATGGGATTTTTTAACATTCACACAAGGAGACAGATGGGGTTAAAATTGTTTCAGAGATAGTAGGAACTGCAGATGCTGGAGAATCTGAGATAACAAGGTGTGGAGCTGGATGAACACAGCAGGCCAAGCAGCAT